TATTTTTTTTAATAGCAACAAACATTTTTAACTTACTTATAAAATAGAAATTATTTAATTTAAAAAATACTGCCAGATAATAATCATCGAACCAGTACTTCGGAAAATATAAGTATTAAGTAGACGGAAATAAGCTCCCGTGAAACGTTTAATGATAAAAGTATACATAAATTTATTAGAGCAATAAATTAACTACTAAACAATAAACTGGCGACAAATTTATTATTTTGAATTCGATGGGCAGATATTGTAGAAAATGAATACTGAATCAATGGAGTTAGTAGTAAGAGCAACAAATTTAAATAATCAGATGACAAAATTAAAGTGTCATAAATATAACTAACTTGGTTGTCACATGGTAAGATTAACGGCTCTTATTTTACCTAATAGTAACTACGTTTGGTTTCTCTGGCCCAAATTATAGAAATTAATACATGAGCAAATTGGCAACGTTGCTTTCATAAGTCTGTATTATTAAAAGTGGAAGAGTGTTAAAAACAGTCGAACGGTGTGAACACGACGTTGCTAGTAGCTTATGAACTAATTTTTTATTTCAATTTATTGCTCTTACTTTTTGTGGCTCGATTGACTTCAGTATTAATTTTCTCAAATATCTGTCCTTGGAATTAATCAATAAATTTGTCGCCGTCTTTAAATTATATTTTCCGTCTACTGAAAACATTGAATGTATTGCTCAAAATTTGAGCGATATACACCGTTTAATGGTTTATAGTAAAGTGTTACTATTAATTAGTTTTTCTATATTATTGTTGTTTTTCTTTTTTTGTTCTATTTTTAGCAGAAATTGTTATTGTTTTATGGAAGTTTAAAATTTTCGGTTTACGTTTTATTTGAGACTAAATATATGTTGTAATCTATATTAATTAAATTGCAGTTCTATACAACATTTACATAATAAATATAGTTTTAAAAAACACGCTTTTAAAGCACATCGAACTAAAAAGTTAAAAATAATTTTTATAATACGCTTAAAACAATAATGAACGGAAAAGTACTAGTATTATTGTGATAAAAGCGTCGGGCGCTCAATATACGAAAAATATGGCACAAAGCACCCAAGCTTTTTTTCACAATACTAGTACTTTTCCGTTCCTTATTGTTTTAAGTTAATTTTAAAAATTATTTTGAACTTTTTAGTTCGATGTGCTTTAAAAGCGTGTTTTTTAGTTTTTTTAACTATATTTATTTTTTACTTTTTAGTTTCATGTTATGATAGTAGTTGCTATCAATATCATGGTTATAACGGGTACCGGAAATCATGGTTCGATTCCGGAGAGGGAGTCTGAGAAACGGTTACCACATCCAAGAAAAGCAGCAGGCGCATAAATTACTCACTCCCGGAACGTGGAGGTAGTGACGAAAAATGACGATACGGGAATGATTCCCCCGTAATCGGAATAAATACACTACATATCTCTTAATGAGAATAAAGTGTATTAATATATAAGTTTTAATAGTAATTAGAATATATATATATACATTAAAGCGACTTAAGTACGTAAATGTATCATGTACGAATGTGGAATATATAAATGAATATTAACATATATGTATTATATATATTAGCGGCGGAGGTAGGAATATATAATCTTCGCATAATATCGCGTCACTTTCGCTGGTGTCGACGACGCGATGTCCGGCGTGATCCTCGGGCGTCAAAAGGTTAGCAGCGTTGATGGCGACAGTGCGCGAGTGCGGATCGGTTCGTCGACGTTGTCACTTTGACAACAGGAAGAAAATTACGGTATCATTTGCGGCTTGACGTTGTGGGCCGTGCGGCACTTGATGGACTTTGCACCGCGGTGTTGGTCAGTCAAATATTCATAGTAGGGCGACGGCTGATAGAGGTGACACGAGTCGCGGGGCCGTGTCAGTCAAAATAAAAATTTATTTATATACATATATATAATTGATGACACGCGTGCGTCTACGGGTTGGAAAATATTGTTGTCGACGATTGGTGAGCGTGGTGGGGTGAATGCGTTACGACCGTTTAGTCTCAAGGCCGTGATATGTGCGTGTGGAAAGTTACAAACACCCAACACATGTGAAACGTACAAGCGTGTTAAAATACGTTACCTAATAATCAAACATAAATATTTGTTATACTAATTTGATGGATTTTGTTATTATTTAGGTCATATACGAAACTCTTATTGCAGATTTGAAATTGGCGCAAAAATGGGTTTAAAAAAAACCCAGCACAGGGGGGTCGCGGCATAGTGGTGACGTGGCATAGTTGGATCAAGTATAATGATATCTGACAGTGATTAAAATCACTATAAAAAAAAAACGCTTCGATGCAAATCTTTAGATAGTGTTTAATTTTAAAAAAATTGTGGATTATTCTAAAAGCTTCATAAACTGCTAGTTCCTTATTAATATCCTGATTAAGATAAAGTATGTCGAATAAAAAAGGGATTATTAAAAAATAGTATTTCCCATAAAAAAATTATATTGATCAATACACTTTTCAATAAGTTATAGCATTATAATGTTAAAAATGTAAAAAATAAAATTGAGAATTTTCACACAATAATAGCATTTGGTAGCCATTTTCACCNAATTTCAACAATCAGGTTATGTATTCTAATAATTAATAAATTACCTAATTTTAGTAATTTACTAATATTTTACCATATGGACGACGCTACCGGTCGTCCAAACAGTTCTCGTATGTACACGCGTACCCGAATATGAAGAAAACAACTTTAATGATCGGACACGAAAATGTATTGTAACTATTTTACAATTTAAAAATTTGCATTTTTAGTAAAAAATATTTTTAAAAAATCTAGAATTAAGAAAATACAATCAATTTTATTTTTCTAATTAGTTTTAGTAGGGGTACGATCGTCCCGTCGTTTAAACCACGAGTCGCCATTTATGTTTATATATCATATGTTATTTAATTACCTTTATTGTGTGATTGATTAATCATTGACCACTAAATTTCATCTAAAGTAATAATAATCTTAGAAGTATTTTTTTGGCTTTGTTGAATACTATTGATCATCAATTTTTAAAGGGTTAAATATTTTTTAAGTGTGTTCTTTATCTTCATAATATTTTTTTTAATAGCAACAAACATTTTTAACTTACTTATAAAATAGAAATTATTTAATTTAAAAAATACTGCCAGATAATAATCATCGAACCAGTACTTCGGAAAATATAAGTATTAAGTAGACGGAAATAAGCTCCCGTGAAACGTTTAATGATAAAAGTATACATAAATTTATTAGAGCAATAAATTAACTTGTGGGCAGGTAAAGGGTCAGATATAAAAAAAAAATATACCAAATGATAGGTAATGACATCATGCATCTGTAAAAAAAAGAATTTATATAGCCATTTTCACCGTGAAGATAAAATAAAGTCCGAAATTTTTTTTTTTTCATAATAAAGTATATTAAATTAGCTTTAATTTAAGATATATATAAAAGTGTCAGACCTTCCGGAACATTTTCAAAAATCAAGTTTAAAAAATTAATTTTTAGTGAAAAAGTTGTCATTTTAAATGACAACTTATGCATCTATATAAAAAAGAATTATATTGATATGTTTATTTTTGAAAAAGTTACGGCAGTTTTTAGTAAAAAAAATTGAAAAAATTTCGAAAATTAGCGATTTTTAAATTTGTAATTTTTTTGGAGGTTTCCCCCATTTACGNTTAAATTTGTAATTTTTTCGAATGTTTCCCCCATTTACGGGGAACGAGGGAATTTTTTTCAATTTTTGAGGGTAATGTCTTCGACTAGATACGATTTGTGATCTTTTGACGTATCATTGAAAGAAATCGGTTCGGTGAGAGCTGAGAAAAAGTGGTAACAGACAAAAAAAAAAAAAAAAAAACACATCTTAGTAAAACCAATACTTTCTCAGCTTTGCATCAAAGCTAAAAGTATATTTTGGTCTCGGATGAAAATTCTTTGTAGACCAGTAAATTTATTTATAAATAATAAACAATTTTTTTTTCTAAGTATTGCATAATGATTTTTAACTTTTATATATATTTGACATAAAAGTAATAACTACTTTATAATTTCTCCTTAAAAATTACAATAGGGTCAATCCATGCCAAATCATCCAGAAGTGGTTGCACGACCACCTCATATTTTTCTTAAATTTTCAGGGTTTATTATTTATGCTATAATTAGATTAAAACAATTTTTTTTTTTTTTTTTTATGACTTTCCGATTTTTAGGGCTATTTCAATGTTAAAAATGTTAAAAATAGCCAGATCGTTAAAAAACACACAGATTATTCAATATTAACTCAATCGACTTAAAATTTTAGGATTTTAGATTATAATAATAACTTAAAGTTAACATTAAAAAAAAATGTATGTGAAATTTCAAACTTAAATGACTTTCTAAAAATGGTGCTTTTTTTGAGAAAATTGGCGTTTTTGAGCTCACCTAAAACCATTAAGAAGTTATTATTTTATAGTGATTTTCAAATGTGGTATTGTATAGTATATAATCTATGTTTTAACTAAATTTCAAATATTTAAAACAATTTTCTTGGGATTTAGAGGCCTACAAAGTTAGAAATTTTATAAAAAGACACGTATTCTAGGTGCATTATCTCTGTTGGGGGACCTAATTTCGAAAAAATTTTTTTTTAATTTTTTAGTTATATATCTGCTTATTACACCATAAAAATTTGAAGTTTGAGAAAAAAGTTTAACATGTAAAATTTAGCATTAGAAAATCAGTAAAAATCCGTTCAAAATCATGTAATTTAATAATACTTTTTTGTTGTTTTCAAACCATATTTTTATAATTTTTTTATATATTACTGTATATGTAATATATTACAATACAATATATTATAATTATTACATATAAACTTTTCTGTATGAATTGTGTATAGGTTTTATAGGTTGTATTGTGGATATTTTTAATTTTAAATCTAATACTTTGGCGTTGTTTGTCTTTATAGATATCTAATTCGATAATTTTATTCTGATATAGATTAGCAAGATTAATTAAATTTTTAGAAAAAGATCCATACACTGATTTATGACAATCTTCATTTGTTGATCATAATAATGAAGATGAAAAATTATTATTATTCTTAAGAAAATTATAATTTTGTAGTACATGATGAAATTCAAAGCTTCCATTTGGTTAATAAATAAGCCACTCTTTATCCCTTTGTTTATTATTATAAAATAGAAAATATGATTAAGTGTCGATGTATATGCATAATTAGTGATCACATGGAACATAATACCGTTGCTGTACATACATTTCAAAATCACCATATACAAGATAATAGATTATCATTAGACATTAGACGGAACATCTCATATTTGTTGAAGTGTACAAAACAATTTTGTATAAAAAATAAGTTTAAAATATATGTATATGCAGTCTATACTATGTACTTATTAAACTATGTACTACAAAATTATAATTTTCTGAAGAATAACGGTATTGACGAAAGGTTGCCGAGTTGGTAAAACTTATGTTTTACACGCTTGGGGTACGAGGTTCCAACTCGCGTATAGCAATGAATTTTTTGCATTTTTTCTTAATTCTTTTTAAGTTAGTATAAATTTTTAACTCATTTACATTCAATAACTTCAATAAAGATCAATGATCCCATCACTTTAGTCGCCCCTTGCAAGAAGAAATTTCTTATTCGTATTAAAATTATTTTACTATATTTTAAGTTTTCGCTTCGATGCAAAGCTGACAAGATATTTTTTTGTGACTATCATTTATTTTCTCCGCTCTAACTTGACCTACTTTTTTCAACGATATGTCAAATTACTACAATTCGTATCTAGTTGAAGATATTACCCTCAAAAATTGAAAAAAAATTTCAATTTATCAATTAAACAGTTACTTATCCCATGTTCTCCATACAGACAATTAAAATCATTCATTTCTAATATTTTTAAAGTATTTGTTGTCGAATTTGATTTGATATGATAAAAGTATTCAACTACAAAAGTAAATAATTTTACTTTGTAATTTATTAATTTTTTTACTCTATTAATGTATGCTACTACTAGACTATAATATTACAAATTTTTTGATAACATGTTGCTATATAAATAATTTCTAAAAAAAATGATGTTTTTTCTCCTGAATTAACAATTGATTTTTTCAAATATAATAAAAATTTTATAATATGCTCAATTGAGTAAATCTTCTTAACAACTTTGTTTTGATTGGTACATTTAGTTAAAGTAAATCATTAAAATTAATTAAGTTCTGAATATTTCAATTGTAGAATCTTTTCTACAAACAACAAAAGTTACTAGGAAATTATTACTATTACTTCTATTTAAGTTATCTATTACCATAAAAATGCAAAAAAATATTGAGCTTTTCTGATAAATTTACAATAAATAGTAATTATAAAACTTTCTGACTGCATATTGATCTTAACGATTCAATTTTTTTAATTGTCATAAAATTTTCTATTTAATTATGTCAATGTCAAACTTACCAATTGAGCTAAAAGTTATGGTAAAATAAATTTTTTTTTTTTTTTATAAACATTTACAACAATCAACTTTAAACGATTAACAAAATAGGTTAAATATGTCATTTTCCTTATTTTTAACTTATTAATAATCAAATTAATATTAAATATTATATCAAATCAGTATTAATTTAAAACAATTTTTTTTGTTCTTAATTATTTTTTTTTATATGTAAAAACTATTTTTTAATAATATTAAAACTTAGAAGTTATAGAAAAAGTCTAATTGCACATTTTAAAACATCGCGAAAAGTTGATTTAGAATAGTATATTTTTGTTTCTGATGGAAGTTCCTTGTAGTCCAGTGTATAAAACTTATAACTTTGTTAATTGTTATAACTTTATCAAAAATGACCAAATCAGTATATTTTTTTTTATTTAGATGCATGTCTTTATCTATCATTTGGTTTTTTTTATAAATCTAACCCTTTACCTGCCCACAAGAGGGATTCAAAATATTAACTTTTTTTTTTTTAGTTAAAGTAAATCATTAAAATTAATTAAGTTCTCAATATTTCAATTATAGAATCTTTTCAACAAACAACAAAAGTTCCTAGGAAATTATTACTATTACTTCTATTTAAGTTATCTATTACCATAAAAATGCAAAAAAATATTGAGCTTTTCTGATAAATTTACAATAAATAGTAATTATAAAACTTTCTGACTGCATATTGATCTTAACAATTCGATTTTTTTAATTGTCATAAAATTTTCTATTTAATGATGTCAATGTCAAACTTACCAATTGAGCTAAAAGTTAAAGTAAAATAAATTTTTTTTTTT